ATACCTTGCAGTTGGCCAAGACTTTAGGTTCAAAGCTGTTGACTGCCTTTCTCTTAATTATAGCAAGAAGTGAGGAACAACTTGTATGTCCACCAGGAAGAGATTTGTTCAATTTGTTATTACACTAAGTCTAAGTCTAGAAATTAATTATAAACTTAAGGTGGATAGAAATGTGCTGTTTCAGACAGATCCCACATAGATTTTAATAAGTCTCTCTATTCATTTGTTCAGGCTTCTACAATAATTATCACAACATAAGATTTATTGTCTCCTAGTAGTGGAGTCTGGCAGTCTAAAATCAAGATGCTGACAAAGTTGACTCCATCTAAGGGCTCTGAGGGAGAAGTCTGCTCCAGACTTGAGCTTGCAGATGGCTGGCTTTGCCACAGGCTTTGTCATCTGGATTTTCCTTTTTTGCATGTCTCTGTGTCTCCTTTTCCTCCTTCAGGAAGGGTATGCATTACATTGAATTAGAGTCCACTCTAATAATATTTTAACTTAATTGTGAATAAAAGACCCAGACTTCAGATAATGTCACACTTTGACTTAAATGTATTATGAGAAAATTAAATTGAGTCCTTAAAAAGGACAAAGGCAAGTGGCAAAATTATACATGCTTATCATTGTCTATGTATAGTTAAATGCATATGCTTCATAGCATATCTAGCTTTCTAAAAGCCTAAAATCAGCTTTTAAAATACACACACCACATTGTTAATTGCACTTACTTTGAAAGACGAGCTATATTTGTAGAAACATCATAAAAGGAAAAATTATGGTTTATATGCATTTTGGAATTTTTTTTACAATACAAATATATGCACTATTTCCTTTGTGCGTAAAATATTTAAATAAGCCTAATAACAGAAAGCATAACTCTATAGTAGTCCCAGAGATAAATGCAAGCTGATAGAATAAAAAAAATCACTGAAATTTAAGCCACTGAAGATTGTAGAATTTTTACATATTAGTTATGATTTGAAATGGCAGAATGTCGTGATTGGTATTGTCTTTCTTCACCTAAAATCCATCTGTTCCAGTCCTAACATTCATTAACTAGAATTTAGTTGTATTTGGAGTTAGAGTCTTCAAGAGATAATTAAGGCTACATGGATTTACATGAGTGAGGACCTTATTCAATGTGATGGGTATCCTCATGAGAAAATATTAGGACACTGACGGAGGAATACCACATGAAAAACTAATGAGAAAGGCAAATAGAGAAGCCATAGAAGAAATCAAACTTGGTAGTTATTTTGACCTTAGGTTTCTATTTTCCAGAATTGTGACACTGTATATTTCTCTTGCTTAAGCTTCACAGTCTATGGTATTTTGTTATTTTATACTAAATTATTATATAGTTGGTCTCAGGATTGACATGACCCAGGGATACAAGCTGCTTGAAACTTAGCTCCACCATCTCAACACTTTGTTCCTGATGAAGACAAGAGCAGGGGTGAGGACGATTAGATAAGACGGGAATGGGTGCTTTTAGTCCATCCCGTAAGCTACTACACAGAAGGTACTTGTCTTAGTCACTTTCCACATTGCTGACACAAAATACCTGACACCGAAACCCAAAGTTATAGGAGGAAAGGTTTATTTTGGATCACAGTTCAGAGTTGTTGGCTGACTGCAAGACAGGAAGGTATAGTAGAGAGATATCACAGAGGAGAAAGAGTTCATGAAGGCAGAAGGCAGGAGGGCAGCGAAGCACAAAGCAGTGAAGAAGTAACAGCAGCCTGCATACCCCTTTCATTCCATTCAGGCCGCCCCCACTTTGGGTTTTGCCACCCATCCCCAGATTGAGCCTTCCCAACACACACACCCAGGACTATGCAAACCAATCAGTAGGGTAAATTAGTCATTACACACCCTTAACCCCAGCATCACATACATAATCCCAGCATCGCCCACTCCCACCACTACACACCATCAATGCAACTGTGAAAAGCCCGACCTATGGCCATATGAGGCTTTGGAGGGACAAAGATGCAAGCTACAAGAACACTTAATAAAAAATAATTTTGATAACATAACCTGCTTCAGTTATTGGCACAGTTTCTGTGGAGTCAACATTGCCTCAAAATCTTTTGATGTCTTTTTATTACTGCTATGTGGCTAGTGATTTCTAATACAGAATGGTCTCTTCTTTTAAAATAAATCTATGGATCTTAGTGGGTAATAGCCAAACTTTTTACTCAATAAAACTTTTCTTAACTGTCCTTTCAATGACCTATATAATCTCTTTAGGATGAGTATTTCCTCTCATCTTTTGATATGTGGTAAATATCTTACCCTAGGAGCCTCCGCTAACCATGTCATGACTAAATATTCCTGAAAACATGTACAGTTGTCTTTGGAATATTGCAAACCAACATTTCTCTTTGGAAGATTAAAGAAAAGAACAAGCTCAAGGTTGACGGTTTTTTTTTTTTTTTTTCATCAGAGCTAGCTTGTTCATAAATAAACTACTGTTTACCTCCTTAAAGAACTCCAGGTTTTCTAAAGTAAATCAGCCTCTTGTAGATAGCTATTTACTTTGATATCTATGGTCTGTTCCCATGCAGAAGGTTTATAAGGGAAGCTTTGTTTTTAGAACATCTATGAAAGCTCATTTATCTGAATGGTTCAGTGACTTGATTCAAATAATACATCTTGTAAACTCTTTGCTGAAGTATCAGGATGGTTTCATTAGCCCTGTCACTGACTGCCAGATTATGTGGAAAATCAGATTCTCCTCACAGTCTATTTGGAAAACACTCTGACAATGTACTAAAATGCTTATGGAAGCTTTCTAATAGATGGACATTTATATATCAGAGGGGCTTTTCTTATCACAAAGGATCCAGGGTAAATAATGAGACGTTCAGGAGTCTTCTGCAAGGACTAGGAAGGTGCTATTCAAAGGGAACACACATGATTCAAGGCTGTTCCACTGAGAGCAGGGCAGAGTCTTCAGAGTGGGCTGCAGTGATGAGTTTGTAGAGCAAAAGTTCAGGTTTCTAGAGTTAGGTAAGAAACACAAAGGGACATATCAAAAGAGGGCTATAACAGAAATATGTTGAGCCTACAAACAGCTGCAGCACCCAGGGAGACTACTTTCAATGTAGCCTAGGAGAGGAGGATTTTAGTTAAGTAAAACTCTTACACAATCCTCAAATTGCATTTTACTCTCATTGTTGCTTTCCTTGTTTAGCTATGATTTAATAATTTTCCCCCAGGCCTTTCTTTTTGTTGGGAGACATGCAGTAGTGAGAAATGAACTAGCTGGATGAAGTCAGTCTCAGGATAGGAGGAACGGGGGCAGTGTGAGTCTAGATGAATTTAGGCCCAGGGCCAATTTCTAGCCATGTCACTTACTACTCATGTGAAAAAATTACTCTGTGCTGTAAGTGATGGAATTTTGTAAGATGATTTAAGTCTTGTGTTGTGGGGTTGCTGGAATATACGTATTGTAAGTAAAATAATATAGTGTTTAACATATATTATAACTGCAATGAATGAAACTGTTTCCAACATGAAACTACTCCAGGCCCTCCCACTCTCTTATGGAAAACTAAGCTTCTGTTTTCATTACCCACTACAGCTCAGAAGTATTTAGCTTAACAGTCAGAAAATACTAACAATCAAAAATCTTGCTTCTTGTATTAAACACAGTAAATGTTCTCTTGTATAAATTGCTTCTGAAAGTTTCTCCAGGTGGAGGCATGTCAAAGATTTTAGAACTGAAGTAAAAGGCAAACTTCTTTTACTTCCCCGCTTGCTGTTCCAACATCCAACCCAGTGTTTTCATGCACTTATCCTTCACCAAAATCCTAGGCCTTCCTTAAATTGGCCAAATTACACCCAAAATAATTTAATTAAGTTTCAGTTCAATAGACTAGGCTCTGGATTTCCCAGGTCAGGGAAGAGAGCCAGCCTGGAAGCTTCTGGCACTACTTCAAAAGAGTAAGTACCATTTTATTTCTCAAGCAAACCTTGCAGCTGTTGTGCATAGAACACACAGTTTATGCAGAGTACAACGGCATCAGCCCAAGATTATAGACCCCATCCTTACCTCCCCCAGGTGGAGATTTCTCTCCAATTTATGGTCCACCCAAAAGCAAATGTTACGAGTTTTTGATAGCAGGTTTTTATTTCACTTATTATTCTGGTCCCTGTTGTTACTCTGAGTTAAAATTTAACGGGAAAGTAATTGTGACTTCCCAAACCCCAAACTGCTTTGGTATAGATCATTTAAATTCAATTTCTTGAGGCCTGGGGTTTAGCTCAGCGGCATAAGCCCCTGCCTTGCAAGCAGGCAGTCTTGAGTTCGATCCCTGGTACCGATTTAGAAAAAAAAAAAAAAAAAAAACATAAATTCAACTTCTTGAATCTGGACTTTCACCTCCTCTCTGCTTCTTTCACCTGTTTTTTAGTTCTTAGAGGACAAATCACCATCTTCCCAATATGACTGCTACAGCTGAACTCTACTTTTTGGGGGGTGAGAGGTGTATCTAGCTTATCTTAGTACCCCCACTATTTCTTAGCATCCTCCAAAAGCAAATTATCAAATAGTGTTCAATAAACTAAAAAAAATCAGTGAGACATTTTTATAAATTTAAAACTTGCTCTTTGTAACCAAGCATCTCTTTAATCTTACAGAAAGATTAAAATAAATAAGAAAATACAAACAGTAAGTGCTTTTTATTTTTTCTACTTTGCTGTTCAAATATTATAGCATTTGTAACAAAATTCTTATTACAATACCATATTGCCCAGACCTGTTCACAAAATAAAGCAGAAGTTTTTAATTATTTTTACAAAACAGTAAACTGTTGTTCTTAAACAAGTTACTTCATAGCTAACATTCCTAAACTAAGATATTGAAGCACATTATATTTGCTACTGGAAAAGCAAATCATGTGAAAAAACACTTTCACCAAGAAGATACAATTTTCAGTTTCTCTTATAGAACAGGAACACAAAGAACACTGTACTGCCTTAGGCCTTACCATGGCACTAGTTAAAAACTCAGCTACTTATTTCAGATGAACAATGGAAAATTGGCCTCAGACCTCCAGAAATGGTGCTACCCATGACATTAGAGCTTGTGCTGGTCACGACTGTAGCACCAAACGCTGCATCAATTACATTCTAGGCTTTCCCACATTTTTCAATCCATCCTTGTACCAGGCTGGAAATGAACTAAGGATGGTATCCTTTAGCTTGGCCAAAAGCTCCAGGATTTTTTCCTCACTGACCTCAGCATGGGCTCTTGGACCCCACTGGAATTCATAGCATTTAGGATCACTATCGGGCAACTGCTGGTACACCAGGTATCCTTGTTGCACCCAATCATTGGTGATGAGCATCCTGGGGTCACCATACAGGAAATGCTCCTTTTCAGCATACACATCCAATGCATTCAGCACTTCCCAAACCTTCTCCTCAGGCATGCAATCGCCCTCTATGAAAATCATCCCTAGGACAATTAACAATAGGCTGGTCTTGGGTGCTGTCTGGTCACAACCCAGCATTCCATGGAAGGTGATATCTATCGTGTCATAAGACATATAGGTATAGTTATTGGGACCCAATTCCCTCACAAAAATGCCAAAAACCAGCTCTGTGAACTCACGAGCTTTCCCAAGGAGCATAGGAAAGTGACCTTTGTACTCAGTGACAATACCCAACATTTCTGCTTCTGAGATAAGCTCTTTTGCTTGGTATTTGAGGAGGAAAAACTGCACTATCTCAGCCACCTTCTTATCTAGCCCATCTTTGATCAAGGGTGCAGTATCCTCGTCTTCTTGGCTAAAGAAATCTTCCTCTAACTTCCTCCATGAAGTAGAGGAAGAGCAGCTGCTTGGAAAACTCTGAGGAAGGCTCGGGAGACTACTCATCATACTAGCAGAAGGCATCTCTTCCGCCTCTTCCTCCTCCAAGGGGTCTGCCATCATAGAAAAGGATGAAAGAGAGGAGACAGAGGGTGAGGAGGTGGAGGGGAAGGAAAAGTGAAAAGATGAATTGGAGGAGGAATCTTCTTCAAGCTCCTCATCTGAGGAAATCGGCTCAATTTCCATTTCAGGTACATCCAGGTGATCTTCCTCAGTGAGCAAGTAACACTTTAAAGACTGGGGCATGATGATTCTTGGAGGCGACAGGCAGGAATATAAGTGAAGGATCCCACGGACCTGGAGGAAAAGACAGTGAATGTTTCAGCTAAAACACTCAATCATGGTGGCTCTGGCAAAAGTGTTTTAACAGACTACTTTTAGGTGGTGTCAGAGGGCCTCACAAGACTCCAGTCTTTCTGATCAGACTTTCCCCTAAGAAGGTATAAGAAGGTCTTCAGGTTGCAACTTTCACACTGTGAGGCTCTAGTAGCACAGATGGAGCGGGGTGGAAGAGCAGGGCCCTTGGTACACATTCAGAACGTGCAGCTCACTTGCCTTCTCCTCCCAGAGCCTCCTCTGCTATGCAGGCCGCTGGAAATAAACCTCAGCTAAAGGCTTCAGTTCCCAGGTCCTGGAACCCTTGCAAGAAGAACTGGGGGGCCTGAAAGCTACAGGTTATAAGCACAGCCGTGGACTGAATTTCCAGGGGTGAAAGGTGGAGTGGGGTCACACCCCTTGAGATCTCCACAGTTTGGGGGAGGATGGTCCCCTCAATGTTACTACCGGTTTTTTTTTTTTAACCTTTTCTTTTTATAAATTCATTTTATTGTTCATGTCTGCTGTACACCATGAATACATTCCCATGTGGGTAGCTGGTGTAGATACATAACACATTTTATTTCTTTTTACGTCCTCTTCCTCTTCCCCTTACTTCCCCTCCTTCATCTCTTAGTGCCCTTTCCATTTTGCAAATATCTCATTATTTCCTCTTGTCTAACTTTTATTTTGCCCTTTGGTACATTTATATTTTTTCTCATATAAGATAAACCATGTCATTTTTAAGTTTGTGTATTTTATTTATTTCACTTAACATTCTGGGTTCAAGGTATATCCAGTTTCTCCCCAACCCCTAAGCTAAGATGAATCAAAGCTCTCGGGAATTAACATCCCTCAGACCAGAATACGAAATAAGATTTCCACAAATCTGGCAACTTCATTCCAGGGCGTCCTGATGCTAGCAGCAAGGGTCTCTTAGTCATAGAAATGACTCCTAGCAGGGATTTGGAATCTCATGCAGCTATCTCTACTGATTTACTCTGCATCCTTCTCCCTTCAAGGTTCTCACTTTTGTACAAGCCTGCATGGTAGTGAGAGAGTAACAGCTCAGCCTGATGGGACTGAATGGGTTCTAGGAGGGGTGATACCTATGCACTCCTACCTGGGTCTGTACTTCCTCTATTACTGAGGATACTTCCCTCAAGCCAGAGCTCTCACCGTCCTGAGATGTTGCAGGACTCATGGCAAAGGCAGAGTTAGCCTGGACCCTAACACTCTTGGCATGGAAGGTCAGTTGGTCCTCCCTCATGGTCCCTGCTTTCCTGCCAGAGCAGGTTTGGGTCTCTTGCCTATGTTGATCCAAGTCCACCATTATAACAAACAGATTAATCTCCCTTAGACTCCACTAACCGTAAATAGGAAAAGCCCCAAGCATGGTCTTTGCCTAGAGATTTCTAGGTTCAACTAGGGAGTAGGGAAGACTCCTATGGTCACTCAGTTCTAGCTAGTGGTCTTCTGCAGGAATACTGGCCAGTCTTAGGACTCCTTCCTTCTTGTGATTTGAAATCACACACTTGGGGTTCTCCAGATGGAAGGGACAGAAGGAAGAAAGTTATCACATCCAAGAAAACTGCCTCAGGCCTTCCCACACATAACCTGACACAGTATGACTGGGCTTCTTTATAAGATGTGGGAGATGAATTCAATCCACCTGTTTAAATCCTCTCCTTGACAGTTGGTCAGTGCTAGGGTCCACCCTCTTTCAACCCATTCACACCCCTCACAGAAAACCTTACCTCCTTCACAGGCCAGTCAAGGAATCAGAGAAAGTACACAGGCTACACCTCTTCCTGAGCTCCTGGGAACAGTTGGTGAAGCAAACCACATTGGCAAAACCTGTTGGTAATGGGAGGGGCTTTGTGTTATCTGCAATGTAACTTGTCAGTTCTAGGACTCTTCCCTTTGTTGATCTGAAACCACACCCCCCCGAGTCCCCCCACAGAGGTCACAAAACTACACATCTGGCAATCCTGCCTTAGGCTTTCCCAGGACAAACAGGACATGAAAAGGATGGTATCTTAAAAAACTACGGTGGGAGGTGAAATAAATCCTCCCTAAAGCCTCACATCCTTTTTTTGTATTATTCAATTTCAAAAAGGGTAAAACTAAACATAACACAGACCAACAAAGCAGAACAGAAGAAAACAATGTAAGTGACACAGATATTAAAACAAAAGAACAGGAAATGTACAGTGGCTACTATGATGTCTCGTTTTCTTCTAAATAATTGCCTATTTCTTCACACACAATGAATTCATACAAAATGAAAGTATAAAACTGATTAGAACAGGATAATGAAGACATTACAGGCCTTCAAAACGGTTTTCTTGATACAGTGCCTCACTATGTAGTTCAAACTGTCCTTGATCTTGCTATGTAGCCAAGGCTAGCCTGTGACTCGTGGATATCCTTCTGCCTCAGTTTCCCGAGTGCTGCGATTACCCGTGTGCACCACCATGCCCGTGCCCAGCAAGGTCTTCCCTCTCGTTAATGGTTGCGGAAGCCTAGGATTCTTCCCTGTCTTGACCCAAATCCATGCTCCTCACACAAATCCTTACTTTTCACAATTTCCTCAAGGAAGCAGAGCAACTTCACAGGCCACAAGCCTTCAGGGGGCTCCTGTGCACAACTGGCAAAACCAACAGCTCTGGAACCTTATATTGGGGCAGAGGGGCTCTGTGTTATCTGCAATTTGATCTGAGAGTCCTCAGACCCCTCCTTCTGCTGGCCTGTAGGCACACCCCTTGAAAGTACCCAGAAGGTATAGAGTATTCTCAATAAACCATATATCCCCAGAGCTGCCTTAGGCTTTTCCAGGGCCAACCGCGTGGCAGAACCTGGGCGCTGTAAAACCGCGGTAGGGCGCTGAGTGGGGGGGATGGGGGTGGGGTGAACGCAGGCCGTGTGTGCTCAGATCCTCAGTGTCGGCGACTGCGATCTCTGTCCACACCGCTCACAGCCTTACCTCCCTCAACCTCACGCCAGGGAACTCCAAAAAATTCAGAAGCAAGGCTTCGGGGGACTCCCGGGGAAAACCTTTGCGGACTATGGCACTGGCACGTCCTGCAGAGCGTGCGGGGCTCTGGGTTCCCTGCAATTTGATTGGCCAATAATAGGATTCCTCCCTCCCCGGGTCAGAGGTCATATTCCTCAGAGTCCCCGGATAAAAAATATGATAGTTCAGGAGATACATCCGGGAACCCTGGGCACTGACTGTGGCGGGAGGGTGAACGGAATCCATCTTCTCGAATCCTATCTGAATCCATCTACTCAAATCCTCACCATCCGAATCCATCTACTCAAATTCTCATTGTCCATTACCCAGTTCTAGAGGAAGTTACCGAGTCCTAGAATTCCTGTCACTGGACCAGAGTCCACAAACCTCATAGATGGTCTTTCCTCACCCTTTTGTCAAGGAACTCAACAAAATTCACAAGTAGGGATCCTTCTGGAAGCTCCGGGGACACAACTGATGTGGGCTTTAGTGCTGGCACTCCCTACATTGGTGGGGGCTCTGTGTTTCCTGAAATTTGACTGACCAGTCCTAAGACCCCTCCTTCATCTGGTCTGAAGCCACACCCTTCAAAGTCCCTAATTGACGGAGTGGCTGTGTGGAACCTTGTATCTGGGACCCCTAATTTAGGGTTTCCCGGGGCTGACTGAGTATGGCCGGGTTAAGGCACTGTAAAACTGCGGTGTGAGGTGAACCCAACCTACCGGCTTAGGTCCTCCCTAAGGCCCAGCCTTAAGGCTGACCCAGGCCTAGGATTCCTCCCTTTTCGGACCCATGTCCACACATTCACAGACAACTTTACCTCTCTCACACTTTCGACAAGGGAGTAGAGAAACTCCACAAGCTCTAAATCTTCCCGGAGCTCTGGGGGACAACGGCTGAGACCTACAAATAGGCGGCGCTCCGGGAGGACGGTGGGAGGGGTCTGAGTTCTCTGTAAGTTGATTGGCTAACCATAGAACGTCTCCCTCTGCTGGTCTGAGGCCACACCCCTCAAGTCCCCGGATGAAATATAATAGTTCAGAAAATACATCCAGGAACCCTGGTCATTACAGGGATGGGGGAGGGGGAGTGAACCCCATCCACCTAATCAAATCCACATTGTAAGTCACTCAGGCATAGAATTTCTCCTTTTCTTGACCTAAGACCACACCCTCACAGACATTACCTTCCTCACACTTTCGTCAAGGGACTGCAGAAAATTCACAGACAGGGATCCTTCTGGAAGCTTCCAGGCCCAACTGCTGTGGGTGGTAGTGGGAGGAGCTCTTTGTCCTCTGTAATTTGATTGGTTAGCCCTAAGACTCCTGCCTCCGATGATCTGTAGCCATGCTCATGGAGTCTAAGGATAACTATCAGGAACTCAAGTGTCCAGCAACTGTGCCTGATACTTTCCAATGGTTAACATGGCAGCACGGGGCTGAAGTGCTATAAAACTGTTGTGGAAGGTGAACCAGTTCACTTGCTTAGGTTCTCACCTTGATGGTTGCCTAGGCCTACATTTTCGATGTTGCTAACCTGAGTCCCTACCCTTCACAGAAAGCCTTATGTCTCTCACACTTTTGTCAAATAACAAAGGAGCCTGCACAAGCTGTGGGCATTCTGGGAACTCCAGGAACCACAGCTGAGGCAGACAGGATGGGGGTCAGGGTTTCTGAAAGGGATGATGGAGGATGTTGGTTCCTTTGTAGATTCACTAGCCAGACCTAGAAATTCTCCCTTCGTGCATCCAAAGACACATCCCTCAGTATCCTGGGATAAAAGTCTTGAACAAGCTCATCCAGTAATTCAGCCTGACCAAGGGAAGAGCTTTACTTGGGGCCCTCCTCTTACCCCCTTTCTCCCGTTCTGTGTGAGGTAGAAGAACTCAGTCCTGCCTTACTCCTGGCCTTGGTTCTCAGC